TAAGAGAGGGACAAGTAGAATTTTATTTTATGTAAATGAAGATTTTTCATCTAAAAAGTAACTATAAGATGGAGTAAAACTTCTATCATGTCCCTTCAGGACGTTGGCGATCATGGTTCTCCACAACTTCTTGTCTCTTCTAACTCTTATTAACTTTTGTCTTTTTACCATCTCTCCCATAGCCTGATCCTCCATTTATTCACTCAAACTTACCAGGTAGGTTGTGTGTTGCTTTCCTCTCTCTTACTTTCAATCTGTCCTGTGAGTATCATACTTTCCAAGCCCTCCTTCTTTATGTGCCTCAGAAATCTCAACTGTTTCTTTCTGATGTTATGTATTTTATTTTTTTTGCCATGTGTAATACACGATTAGGCGATCATGTATCTTTCAATACATGGCTGATAAGGCAGATTTTTTCCTGCAGTAGGTTGCCATTTCTTTCTGTGGTAGACCAGTTGCCATCCAAGGATTCAATGTAGTTGTTCCACCTCAGGTCAGTGGTCTATCCTGCTATTTACCCATAGCTGGCGGGGGTGAAGAAGAGGATTCATATCTTTCCCAAGGGTCTTAGCAAGTAAGTGAATGTAATGGAAAGTGAATGTAATGGATTCCAATGTTGTGTATAAGTGTCTTTTTTGTTGCCATTTTCTCTAGAACTGTGTCACTGCTCACATGTCCAGTCTTTGGTATTCTAAGAATCTTTCTGTAGAAGCACATTTCTGTTGCTTCAAGGAGGAGATTGTCCAGGTGTTTTTTTTTCTACTCTGAACATTATTATTGTGGATACAAGTGTTTGACTAGATGCCCCTTTTTTGTTATCTCTTATTTTCTAAAGCCGACTTCAACTCTATATTTTTAATATCTCCTAAACTCTCAAATTTTATTTACTAGTTATTTATTCACCCACCATCCCAATAGTCTTCCTATTGTCCAGGTCTTTTGAACAGGAGTAGAGGTTTATCTCTCATTTCCTGTTTAGGATTGGGTTTCCGGTTCCTTCTATAGTTTTCTCATACTCTTTCACTTCCAGTATTGCCTTGTCTCTTAGTGGCATTATTGTCTTTTTTCAGGCAAATTGATTAAAAAAAACTAAAAACTAAAAAAAAACTGCAAAGGTATGCAACTATATGAATAATTCCAATCCTCCCAGAAGGCATTTAGTTAATATTTAACCTCTTTTCACATTAACAGAATCAGATATGTCAATATAAACAATCAGCATCATACGATCATAAGTACATCAAATAAGCTATAAAAGGGGCACAGTGGAGTAATGGATAGCGGCTTGGATTGAAGAATCGGAGAGCCGAGTTCGAATTCCAGTCGAATCCATTACATTCACTTACATGCTAATACCCTTGGGAAAGGTGTGAATCCTCTTCTTCTCCCTCCAGCTATGGGTAAATAGCAGGACAGACTGAGTTCTATAGTCTTGGATGGCAACTGGTCTAGGAGAAGGAAAAACTCTGAATTCAAAACCTGTGGAGGGTCGTTTGTGGACATTGTGGCATGTAGTGCACCAGGTCTCTGTATTTGTCCCTTCAAAAAGTGTGGATGGTCCTGCACAAAACCTTCACCACTATAATCAAATCTCATGTGCTATACATGCGGGTTGGGGACTGCTTGTGAATTCCAAATTCCCATGAAACTCCAATATTGGAGCCAGCTCAACCCACCTCGGGTGAATGCCGTTACAGGTAGGTAGTGCCGACAGTTCGTTTCATGTTTGAATGTAATCTTCAGACCATGTGTGTTGGCTCAACTATTTATATATGCTAATCAATGGGGCATTATGGGTAGCAAGGTCTATTGTATTATTCTAATGGTTATTGGGTAGGTGGTAACAGTTATGTTTCAAATTATTCTACAGGCTGTTGAGTAGGAATATTTATGGATCCAAATGATTTGGGTGCCATGCATGTCATCCATAGTAAAGTCTTGATCTGACAAGGAGATTTAAGAATATGATTCCAGTTTTTACATTAATGTTTTAGTTTTGTGGCAATAAACAACAAATTTTGGTGTCCCTTGTAACTTCCTCAGATTTTGCATGACAATTAAATAGTACTTCACCACTTCAACTGTTAAAAAAAAAGCAATTACAAATTTTGGATCTCTTTTATATCAAGAGAAGGCTAAAATCTATTCCACATACATAGCCTGTGAACTCATGCTTATTTCAAACTTTGGACAGTTAACAACTAGTTATCTCTTTTTCTTCTTTCATTTTCTTGAAAATGGCCAACAATGGTCTGGTTGAAATCACTCAAAACAATTTTGGCAAGTTTCTTTACAAGTTCCCAGCCAATATCAAAAGTCTTATTAAAAATGAAAAGCTTGCCAAAAGATTATATATGTGGACACTGAAGTCAACAGTGGTGACAGTCTGCTTCATGCTTAAATGCAATCTTCAGGCCATGTGTGTTGGCTTGACTATCTATATATGTTTTTCAATTGGACATCATGGGTAGCAGGTTTATTATTTGGTTTATTGTATTATCCTGTTATTGGGTAGGTGGCAACAATTATATTTCAAATTGAGTAGAGATAATTGTACATCAGAATGCAGTTATTTGTAGGTATTGTACAGTATCATTTGTTTACTTTTAACTCATTATTTATTATTGATTACTTAAGGCAGGGGTTGGTAACCTTTTGGAGAAAGCAGACAAGACAGCTATGCAGTGTCTCAGAGGAGGGCCATAATATCAAATGTACTTTAATAAAATGCTACATCCTCAGACTGCTCTGTCCAGAAGGTTGCCCTGGTTAGGAGAAACTTTCTTTACAGCAATGGTTTTTTGACAAATTAAGCACATTTGCTGAAGTGCTCAATGAAAAAATAGCTATCATCTTTCATTAAAAACTGTCACTCAAAATTCACTTTTCATTGTTTCCATGGACTTGTTTTTGTTCAGACAAAAAAGATTTCTGGAAAAGAAAGAAAATAAAGTGCAGTAATTGAGTTATGTTGAGTCACGATTAAGTTGGTGGGCCATACAAAAATCCGTCACAGGCTGGATGTGGGCTGGGGGTTGCCGACCACTGACTTAAGGTATTTTGTATTTATTCATTAATTATTTGTTGTTGTCAATTACTATTGAATTTCTTTGTGATTATACATGCATTTGTACTTTAATTATTTATTTCATTTAAAGTATTGGCTTTGTCTAAAGTATGTTAAATTATCTGTCTATATTTCTGAGATGAGGTTTGTAATTATTTACACTATTCAGATTTTTGTCCTCATCTTTGTTGCCATATTCAATTGAATATGGCAACAATGTAAATAGTTACATTATGTGTTGCAAACAAGACATAAATTTGAAAATATATGTAATACATACAATATAAATACAACACAAATATAAATGCATGCATAACCACAGGAAAATTTAATAAATTATATACCATAAATAACATAAAATATATATATAATACATATATACCTATGTTTTAGTGTGCGACTAAAATTTTGTTGGTTACCCAACTTGTTGGGCACAATGAGTTGGGTAACCAACAAAATTTTAGTCGCACAACAAACATAGGTATATATGTATTTATTAAAATATATTTCTTTGCTCTGTTTAATCACACTAAGCACTATTATGTCTACACTTATTGGCTAAATTTGGTGATTATTTATTTGCTTACCAACATATGTGTGTATACAGTCACTAATATCTAGTTATTTCATTTACCTAACCCTATATATATATATATATATATATATATATATATATATATATATATATATTTATTCAATCATGTTTCACTGAATAACATAGACGTTTACTTATTTTTATACAGATCCTTTCCAGTTGTCTAGGTGCCATAGTTTTTCTTTTTCTTTTTTTAACTCAAGTACTTTCAACCTTTTCTAAGATCATCTTCAGGATCAAAAGTACTTGGGTTAAAAAAAAGGAAAAAAAAAAAAAGAAAAAAAGGCACCTTCCTTGATGAATTTCATCTTAACATCAGGAAACTAATTAGATAACTGGAAAGGATCAGTATAAAAATAAGTAGACAGAATATGTCTATATTATTTAATAAAATATAATGGCCAGCTACTAATTTTCTGAGCATACCAATTAGCCAAGGCAGGTAACTAATACCTGTTGCAATCACCTGCACAGTAACATTTATGTCTGTTCAGCACTTCCAGAGCCCACCTCTGGTTTCTACTGCAATTATGCTGTGTGGACCTTAGTTACAGTTTATGAGAGAAAGCACATCTTGCATGATCGATAGTTTGAATAAGGCCAGTATGCTCAAACCCTCGGTTGTGATGACTTGTGACTTCATGCAAGTACAACCATTGATGGCCTCTGTTTACCAAATTTTAAGCACAAGGCTTCACATAACCCATGTTATGATTTCAGGGACTTTCCAAATGTTATGCACACTGGAATTGCCTCTCCAGACTGATAGCATCAAGAAGTCATTTTCTTTTCCTGACAAATCGATTATACTGTGATTCAGTATATATATATATATATATATATATATATAATCCCAAATTCTTCCTTATTCTTTTTCTCCAAAATATATTTTTGTTAGACAAAAACATAAAGAGTTAAAATAACTCTAGGATATGTACAAGGCTACATTACTGAATCAGTCAGTAAAGAAGACTCTTAGAAACTATACCTTCTGAGATGAGTACGCTCAAAATTGGTCTGTGGCGCATATTCTAAATTATCCCTGTGCATTTAACAAGAATATTTATGCAGAGCAACTGCTATCTATAAACAAAAGGATTTAGAAAGATGACAAGACTGGTGTTGATTCTTGACTTGCACACATTACAATTCAATTAAAATAACAGAGCTCCAGAAGATTATAGATAATGTTATGTTGCGACACTATTGCTGTAGGTGTATCTGGAGTCTTTCTAAGAAGTTAAAAAGAAAAATAATGCTTCTGCATCAAAATAAAAACAGAAAACCAAGTAAATATTTTTCTTCTTTTCTTTAAGAATAAATTCAGTTATAAAATATTTACATAGAATAAAATGAAATGAAAGACGGGGGATGAGAAAGAGAGAGCCACAAATAGAGAGAGATTACTACAAGAAGAGAGAGAGAGAGATTAAAAAGAGAATTAAGCAAATGAAATGAGAGAGAGAGAGAGAGAACTAAACAGAGGAAAAAAAACAAGAATGCGAAAAATGAAAAAGATGACAGCTGACGAACATTAAAAAAAAAAAAAAAAAAAAATCTTTGCTTGCAAATGGACAAATATGAGGCGATCTGAGTTTCAACAAATGATAAAGGCAGTTACGTCCACACAAACACATTTGGCAAACAGCACAAATCAGGGAGGTGAGCAAAAGACCAACCACATGCCACGCGATGTGAGCAAATGCTGCAGCATCTCACCGGAGTTGGGGGTGGGAATAGGGAAAAAAAAAACAGAATGTACAGGTATAAGAATGAAGAGGACATGCTGCACACTAACAAGATATCAGCTTGGATCACACCTGAAATAGAGGTATCATATATATATATATATATATATATATATATATATATATATATATATATATATGATAAGTTTAATTCAGAGTGTATAATGATGTCAATAAAATGTCGAGGTAGGTATAATTGCCTCTTCATTTATGTTTCATTTCCTGGTATAGTTGGGGAGGGTAGGGGTCAAATGCCGCCTAATTTAGAATATGGCAATGAGGGGCAATACAAAGTGATATGAAATTTATAAATGGACCTCCAGATGTTCTTTTTTCTGTAGAAGTGTGTGTGTGTGTGTGGGAGGAAGATTAGACTGGGGGTGGGGGTTGTTTTTGTCACAGAACTTCCTTTCATTTGCAAAGTTTGATATTTCTTTTTTTTTTTTTTTCTTCAGAATTAATTTTTTCTCTATTCTGACATGTTTTGATTAGAAGAAGAAAAAAAAAAAAAAAAAAAAAAAATTTTCTTTTTTTTTTTTTAAAATCTCTGTTTTTATTTTCATATATATATATTTTTTTCTATAATGTCTCATAGATTTTTTTTTTTTTTTTTAATGTGTGTATGCAGGTTGGTTTTGAAGTGTTTTCTTTTTACTACATTTCATATAGCAAATACACCTTATTCTAAGGTCATTAAAATGTCTTGCTGATGTAGAAAATAACATGGGGAGGAGGGGAATGGAAAAAAAAAAAAAAAAAATTTTTTTTAACCAGTACAGACAGCATCTGAAAATTCATCGAAGGAACTAACCTTTCTGTTGTCCTAAAGTTATTTTATTTTAATTTTTTTTTTATTTTTATCGAATGGCTAGACCAATCGGTGTAATCAATCAGACCACAAGGGCTGGGTTTCTCAACTACAATTTCTAACAGAAATCTGACTGCCACAAAGAAGTTTCTCACTTTTACTGTACAAACTGATTGTGGAATTTTTTTGAAGTTGTTTTTATGATTATCAATGCCATCAAGTGTTATAAGGTATATTTGTGATATGAAGCAATAGTAAAAATAAAATCATTTTGGGGTTTTGTTTTTGTTCATGTCAGTTTTATCTTTTTGTAACTTAAAAAAAAAATAAAAATATTAACAAAAAAAAAAATTGAAAAAACATTGTCCAATTTTAAAAGTAATCCTAGGATGATTTCAGTTCATTTTTTATATTTGATGAATTTTCTCGTTTGACAAAATGTGATGAATCAATAGTTGCATGATCAACAATACTGAACACAAACTGGAGGCAGCCAGTTTTAATGTAACTCCCATGATGCAACAGGGCTGTCCCTTCCCAGCCTGCACCATTGCCTCCAATTAGACTTGAACTACTTCCTTTACAGCTACATTGCTTTTTTATCTGAAAATATAAAATAGCATTAAATGTTAGAATTGAAGCGCATTTTTTTATAAACAAAACATAAAATCCTTATAGAAAAATTATCCTACAAAAATCTTTTCATTAACAAAATGCTTGGCATTGCTTTACTATGTAATCAAAATCCAAACAAATAAAGTGCAATTAGACTTGAACCAATGTCAAAAATCTAATATTTTCAGTTAACTGATAAAGCTTCCAAAAAGACACTTATAAATGCTCCTTTCACATTGATTTTAAGAGGTTGATTTATATTTTGGGTTGTCTTGGGTATAATGATAAACTACGTCCAGCAACAAGGCCTCTGATCGGGAGGTCTTGAGGAGCGTGGAACCACCTCTTAATTGCTGTTGTTATCAGGTTCAACTTGACCCAGGGTGGTAGCACCTGTTAGGGTCCCAGCTATGAGCAAATAGTGAATCCTCAAACTGGAGTCAAAGCAATATAAAAAGTATAAAAATAGATTTTTATAGTAAAAATACCAGCAATATATTCTTAAAAAGAAAATTACCAGCAGTACATCTGACACTCAACAAAAACCCTCTTTACATCAATAAACCAAATGTATATTTTAGGGTATGGAGTAACAGAGATGAAAATAGTCTTATTCTCGAACAATAATGTTAGTGGTCTTGGGATTATTAGCAATGTCAAGTCCAGTCAGTACTTAGACGAGGACCATTTGTGAAAATCAGATACACAACCAGTTGGGTATGAAGTTAACTCCACCCTGTAAAACTTTGTTTGCTATGGAAACTAGCAAAGACTCCTGCCTAGTTCAGAATGATCAACTTAAAAAATCTTAGATCCCTAATTTCAGAAAAAGCCAGGAAATATTACCAAAAAAAAAAAAAAAAAAAAAAAAAATGCATAAAATGTTAACAGCTGTAAATTCAAAGAATTAGGTTTTAAAGTTATTTCCAATAGAGTCTTAATTTTGGACTAACGTTAATCAATTTTGAGCCAATGTTACACTTGTAAACAAATGTAACATTACAATTTATTACCCATCTTTAGGAGATTAGATAAATTTCTTTTCTCTTAAATCCACTTAGTTATTTGAATTTCATAGGAATTTTGTCTCCAGTCCATATTTGAGTAAATTTAAATGTCAGTATTTTGAGAGATTTATGTCTACAGCTACCTTTGAATTGGCAAACATAAAATGTTGTTAATGATTTTAAATAATCATAGAAGTAGTCCTTTGAAGAATCTGATCACCCATCCAGCTTTTTGGGTGGTCTCCAACTTCCAGAACACAAGTAAATGGATAGGGGTATGGGACCCCAGCTATTATCCACAGGCAGTGATTGTAAGGGTCCTTTTTCCATGGCTGGAAGTTAGTAAGATAGCAGTCCACTTCTCAAAGCTGAAGGAAAAAGAATCCCATGGTCAAGTAAGAAATCATATTGTTGCTAATTTCTAACCAGTGTCTTTAAAAGCTATTGTTATTTTTTTTTTTTTTTTTTTTTTTTGTTGAATACAAACATGGGTAAGGAGACAAATCTGTGAACATAATAGTGAGTTGGGTGTATATGCAGATACAAACAACTTTGGATATCACCACAGGTTATATAGTGAATGAAGAATATATGTTACAAATTTTGTCACACAAACCTAATTTGGTAAATCTGTTATCAAAAAATTTTATCTCTGCAATAATTTAACCAAATCACAGGTGAAATTGTTTTCAAAATGTATGCAGGCTGAAGAGGAGGAAATTTCATTTGGCAACTCAAAAAATTATTCAGGTGGGAGAACCTTTAAAAACTGGCAGACTTGGCAAAAGACTAACCAGTTAAATACTAGTTACAGAATGAAAAACACAGATGAAGAGCTCGTAGCCAAAAGTCTCCTGGCACCACAGGGAGAGTTAACAGGTCTCATGATTTGTTGCTATTGACAGTCATCCAAAATAAATGTCATGTATTCTAGTCAGCTATGAACTAAAAACAAAAACTTACCCCTCGACACCGAGCACTCATTGTAGGTCTGTTGTTAACTGTTGTCTTTTCTTTGTCAGGTTCTTCTGTTACATCTTTTTTGTGGTTGGGGTTTGTGGAATTGCAACTGCTTGAAGTCCCTGGGCTGCTTGAATTGATTTTTTTCTTATTAATGATGCTTCGAACAGAAGCAACAAATGGTGTTGGCTGTGGAGTGGTGGCTGTTTTATCAGAGAAATCACATGAATACAAAACATTGTCCACTGTTGTGCCGTGTTCACTATAATTGAGCAGTTCATAATGACGAGTTGTCTATATAAAAAAAAAAAAATATATATATATATATAGAGTCAAAGAAATATTTATTTGAACAAAAAAAAAAAATTAATATTTTCCCAAATTCTGAAATAAATTTTCAGTTTGCATGAAATATTTCCATTATATGATATTTACTTTTATCCAGACTGTTGTCTTTATTTTTAATTATAAGAATTTATTCAGTAATAACAAAAGATGTCTGAAAAATTAAAATCCAAATATATTTTATAAAGAATAAAGACTCACAATTTATATATAAAAAAAAAAAAAAAAAGATTAAGTGTTTGAAAAATTTTGGCAAATTTGGGCCTTTGTGCCCACAACAAAAAAAAAAAAACAAAACACACGAAATGTCTTCTTGACACCACTACTATTTTAACTAACTTCCCTCTTTGAAAATGTTTATTGTCTTAAAAAGCAATGATTAGAATTATAAGATACTAGCAGCATGGCCCGTGCTTAATTCAAAAATTGTACGACTCATACAGCAATTGCTATCGCTTGACTTAAAATATTTTTGCCCTTCCTTGCCTTTAAAGGAATGCCCTTTGCCGTGCTGATGTTGCTACATGCCTTGCAGATTTAAATTTTTCCCCACTTGTGACGAATGCAGCTATCGATTTTTTTTTTGCATGCTAGTTAACATTCGTGTCAGTCAGCTGTTGGCTCTCACACTGGCCAATAGAATCTTCCTGCCTATTTGTGGCAGCCAGCTATGAAAATTTTCTACTGGCCAGGCTTTCACTCTGGCCAGTAGAAAATGGCCACAAACTACATGAAAACTGCCGTAGAAGCATGAAAAAAAAAAAAAAAATTATTTACACTATCGATGGGAGTTGGGAAATGCAAAATCAGTCTTGGCCTTTCCGCTAACTTGGAGTATGTGCATGTAAATTTTGGTGCAAATCTGTCGAAAATTGCGGCCGTGCATTCGTTACACACACACACACCCTTTTATAGATAGAGATGCAATATGATACGTTCTGATCTGGCATCTTCATATTTTTTCATTTGGCTTCCATATTTATTTCCTTATAAATTGGTAAATGATATATATTGCAGTATGTTAGTTCTAATTGTATTAATTTTTAGAATGTTGTAAATATATTTTAAGATGATTACAATTGATTAATGATTTAATTTTTAAATGATTTAATTTAATCATAACTTTAATTTTTTTTAATGATTTTAGGATGATTAAAATTGTAATAAAAACCTAAACACATGATGAAACTTATACATTTTTTTTGTTGAGAATTTACAAGAAAAATATGAAGCACTTTATTTATAACATTGTTTATTTACAAGAATAATTTTATATTTACATCATTATAAAAACTAATATAATTGTATTAAAACTAATACAATGCAACATTTATCAATATATAAAGAAATAAACATCAAAATTTTTTATTCATAAATTTGTAAACATTTACTAAATTATTAAAATATGTGAACTATAAGAAAATCCTTATTATTTACCATTTTATAAAGTTCAATTTGAATAGCTTATATTTTGACAAGCATTGCAATAAACAATTTAAAAGTGTAAATAAAGAATCTAATAAATAAATAGGGTTTATTATTTTTGTCATCAATTCTCAAGAAAAAAAAAAAACTGAACCAATTCACTTACAAATGCTTGTTTTATTACAATTCTAATTATTGCTTTTTAAAACAAACATTGCCAAGGAGTGAAGGCAGTTAAAAATAATAGTAATGTCATTGGAAAAACTGTCCGTTTGATAGTTTGAATTTTTTTTTTTTTTTTTAGGGTACAAAGGTACAAAGTTGGCCAAATCTTTTAAATAGGAGATTTTAAAAGCTCTCTTTGCTCTATATTCTGATAAGAATGAATGCCAAATGATCCAGATTTAAGTCCATGAACTGTTATAGCTCTTTTTAGTACTAATGGGAGTTTCCTTCTGATCTTAATGTGGAAAGTTGATTATATCATTATTTTTGGTGCTACTTTGGATTTTTATCTACATATCACGAATCTACTTTGGTATGTGATCTACTTCTATTTAGTGTATATATATATATATATATATATATATATATATATATATATATATATATATATATATATAAATAAATGTGTGTATTCATATTCAAACAAAGAAAAGGTAATGAAAACATTTTCTATTAATCATATTCTAGCAATAAACAGTACCTTTTCTTTGAATATAAACACACACATATATATATATTAGTTTTCTAACAGGTTTGGTTAAGTAATTTAGACATATGTAAATTTATTTTAGTTGTGATCCTTTAAAGTTCATGGATTAATTTCAAAACGCCAACATTATATATCAAATTAGATGTCCATCAGGAGATGTATCTCTGATAAAAATGTCAATATGTTGGTTTTACTATGATGATGCTAACAAAAAAACTTACATTCCATTTGGATGAGCATAGTTCAATATCACAGCATTTATAAAAACACTTATGCCCACTCACAGCTTAGACAGATATGAGTTGAAAATACATCTATATTACATAAAAACAAACAAAAACTAAAAATCCTTGAAGCCCTTTATATTAGAGAATTAAAGCCCAAAATAAACAATATTCTTAAATGTTTGCATCATATATAAAAGGAATAAATAATGGAGAGTTACCTCCCTTGTACCATAGAAAAAAAACAAAAAACATTTGAATTTTGAAATCTAGAATACTGCATCACACAGCAAGATGAATAGTTGAAATGTTTTGAATTTACAGAAATACATCTACACATTCAGACAATTTAACATCCTGAAGATGGTCTCAGATAAGATTGAAAGTACTTGGGGAAAATAAAAACTATTTGAAAGAAAATTTTTGGTATTTTTCTTAATCAATTTCCTAAGGTTACCAAGAAATTGATTAGTGAACTTGAAAGGATCACAACTAAAATAAATCAACTAAATGTCCAAATTATTTAACAAAGCCTGTTTAAATGAAAATATGCTGACTAAATACAAACACACACACACATATTTTACGGTGTAAATATTTTTTTTCCCTTGTGGATAACAAGCCAAAGTAGCTCCTTATTTTCTCTTGTTACATATGCTACTCATTTAACTTGTTCAAAATTGGAAAAATTAAATTTTGTCAAAAACCAATCTGATCAGTTTGTTTGTGTTTTATGGCATATCAACCTCTGTGGGTTATTTAATGCCAAATCCAGTTTATATGAATTTTAAATGCCTATTTTGTATGGAATATTTTTAGCAACCTAGAGCTTATTTGCTTGCACACTGCAAAGTAATCCTAAGTATTTTTGTTTAAGTCAAGAATTTCCATTTGATAAGGACAATTTATTTGCAAAATGATAAAAGGTAAGATATGTTGTTTACAATCTGATCAGTTGATAAATCTTTCTGTACCTAAAAAATAACTTCCAGAGAAATTTGTGCACAAGCATCTAGAGCAAGAGTTCTCAACATGGGTGAAATGTGACCACATTAAGTTTAGTGGATGAGAAAAGCAATTATAGAATTTAGCCTATCTGTTGTTCATGTCAATTCTAATGATTTATTTCCGGAGTTAATAAACAAACATATTAAACCTAATTAGAAAACAAAAAAAAAATTTTTTTTTTCTTCTAAAGTATGAAAGAATTCTTACCTCATCAAAGAAAATAAATGCATGTTTAGGAGATACATAATTGCAATGTCCAAAGAGGGTCAAGCACACGTCCATGTCAGCACCTGTAAATATACAAAAAGAAGCCTTGGAATTTAAATTTCAAATATTTAGAATGCAATTTTAAGGAAAAAGTTTTGATAACAAATACAGTGAGTTTTGACTGGTTCCAGGATAAATTTACACACTGGACAACTACTGGCAGTATACTCAGGGCAGTGATGATACAGTCTAATATGTCATACACTGGGCAATGCAGAGTGTTCCCTGGTAGAATAAACAGCCATATGTTGATGACCAAGTCAAGCCTTCAAGTTGGAGATTATCAGCTGTGGTCTGACCTGGAGAGGTATCACTATTTCTACTTTGACCAAGACACACTATGTATGGATGAATACCTACAGGGATATATGGAAGGAGCTGGTCAGGTGTTTAGCTGTGCAGCAACCCTAAAAACACACCTGGTTATGGTTTTAGGGTTGCTGTGCTATGATGATAACAATCAACACAAAAAGAACCAGAGGTCTAATTATTTTATGTTCAATAAAAAAAAGATACAAGAAACTGGGAATCAAATTCTGGAGTGCATCAACTAATAAGGGAAAGAAAATTGTTAGTCAGTTAAAATCCTGACTTCTGAGATACTTTTAAAAGGCAATTATACTTACAATAGCACTATTTTTCCAGAGTTGTATTAATTTCTAACCAATGACAATATTTCTCTACAAAATCATTAAAATTTAAATATACCGTATATTCTTGCATATCATGTGACCTTTGAAAGCGTAATTTTGAAGCTAATTTGACTACAGTAAATGCATATATAGTTGAGTCAATGGCATAGCCAGGGCCAGCAGTACAAACACTAATTTTATATCTTGTACATGATGCATGCAAATCCCTTAAAATTAGCTCCAAAATTAGGTCTTTAAAGTTACATGATACGTATGTGTGTAATATATATATATATATATATATATATATATATATATATATATACGTATGTGTGTGTATATATATATATATATATATATATATATATATATATATATGTGTGTGTGTATATATATATATATATATATATACGTATGTGTGTGTATATATATATATATATATATATAATTACATGAATCATTCATACTAAAAACAAATATAGAGGTTAATGATTTAAATGGCGAGAATACATCTTCGCAAACAATTTCAATAAGGCACACTAACCCCGAACCTGTATATGAATGATATGATCCCTGTTTATAAATTCCAGTTTCATAATGTCTTTTTTAGTTTTTACAAGCTTTCGTCTGTTCTTACAGACATCCTCAGGTATGGAAATAGATTTGTTCTTGTTTTTTTACTTCTCAGTAATAAGAGGACAACGAAAATATAGATGTGAGCTGAGTTTGAATTTTAAGGTTGTGCGTTTTTGTACAAATATAGTAATAAGAGAATTCTTTTGTACTGGTAGGTGTATACACACACACACACACAGGGTGTATGCATATATCAAAATACTTTTATAAACTTTAGTGGCGGGTTCCTCAGACCAAAACAAGAACACAAGTCCATATAAACACATGTCCTTCGTTTTTGAGTTGAGTGTAAAGTTTACATTAGATGTTGTTAAATGTACAATTCAAGATACAATCCAAAAAATACTTTCAAAAACTTTTGTCCTGACACCAAAACAAGTTAAAATGTCCATATATACATGTCCAAAAAGCGATCGTTGTACCTCAACACCGCAACTCATAACAAATATTCAAAATGTCCTCTGATTGCTTCTACACATGCATGCACTCATCAGATCATTGACTGATGGACCCCTTTAAATACTCCCACACAGTGTTGAATGATTTCGCAGGCCCCCATGAAACATTGATGAAGCGTCTCTGCATTATTAATGTCTGCTGAATAAACCAATTGTATTAGGTGGCCCCACAGATAAAAATCCAAAGTATTGAGGTCAGGGGAACATGCAGGCCATGGAATCAGTCCTCCCTCTACCTATCCATCTTTCATGGATGGGTAAGGGAGTCAGTAAGTGCATCATGAACAATGTGACTAAAATGTGCTTGAGTACCATCATGCATGAAACACACGTGTGTTCATATAAGCAGGTCATCTAGCAAGTCTAGAAGAGGGTTTGAAATAAAGTCCCTGTAGACAGCTCCTGTAAGACATGCTGGGAAAACATATGGACCTACGAGATAGTCACCTATAATTCCAGCCTACACATTAATTGTAAACTGATACTGGTGTCTAGCCTGTATTGTACCATAGGGATTCTGATTCACCTACAAATGTTGGGTTTGTAAATTTGTTATTCCATCTCTTTCAAATGTTGCCTCATCTGTAAACAAGACTGAAGAGACAAATAATGGGTTGGCAGTTTGTGCAATAAACCATCGGCAACATTCTCCTGTAGTGAATGATCAGAGGGTGAAAAACCTTGCACATGATATGGATACATGAGCTGCTCCTGAAGTACCTTCCATTTAGTACTATGAGATTTACAACATGCTAGGGCCACTTGACATATGTAGTTACCCGGTACCTGGATAGTCTCTGACAGCCTGCAGAATGTGCTCTTCGTAGTCAGGCATATGAGTGGATCTCGGTCTACCTCGATCCATCGTTTGTGGTGTTATGGATCCTGTCTCAACAACACAATGCTCAAAAGCAGGATAGTGGAAACACAATCTGATACAGCCATGCAGGCTCATGTCCATTACCATTCAATGCTGCTGTATATAAAAATCATATCTGCCTGCTCACAATGATTATCCTGCCATTGTTAAACAGAACACTTCTCAGTTCACTCACTACTACACATGTTAAATGTTGAAGACAGACTTATGACAAATGTAATAAAATCTACATGGTAATACAGTGGCATCTACCATAAACTTTAAGCAATAACTCAAAAACAAAGGATTTGTGGACATATGTTTATATGGGCATTTGTCCTTGTTTTGGTAATAGGAACTTGCCTCCAAAGTTTGTAAAAGTATTTTTGATACAATATATATATATATATATATATATATATATATATATATATATATATATATATATCCAAATGAGAGAAATAACAGATGGAGTAAAATTCTACTGTTGGTAGCATTTACTTTTAAAAAAATGCTCCATATATTATATATAAAAGCAATATATTATTTTTATTATAAGAGATTATAATAAAAATATGTTGAAATCGCTACACAGAAGATTTCATGTTTCGATACTTTGATTGTACTTCTTCAGGCAATGGTAAGTAACTGGTGATTAAATGATTTCTAAGAAAATTTAAAAACAAAGTGTTACCTCGTTTCCAAAAGTTAAAGTGTGGGGGAAATATAAGGTTAGAATTAAAAATAGGTAAAAATCCCCTCCAACTTAACATCCTATGTCTGGCAATAGGACTGCACCATGCCACACACGTAAGAGAATCCAGTCACTACAGTCAGACAATTTCTGTGACCACATCACCCTTTACATCTGGCCACTTAACTCCCCAGATTGCAACCTCCTTTATTCTTATGTGTGGGGGCACAATTGAGTGAAAGACCAACAAAACTCCTTGTAATACGAAAGATGAACTGAAGGCAAGGATTATGGCAGCATTCACCAACTTAAACAAGGAGACCATACATAAAAGTTACAGGAGATTTTAAAGTCATCTAGAGGCTATGGTTGAAGTCAATGGCGATTTTATTGGATAAATTTACTCTTTAGTATTTAAAGATATATTTAACAAAATTACACAAAAATATCTGTTAAAATGAGATGTCAGTGCTATTTTCATTTTTATCCACCACCCCTATATATATATATATATATATATATATATATATATATATATATATATATATATATATATGATGATGGACTCTCTCATCGGTTTTTACGTATGAGGTTCCGACAACTTTGTTTATTTAACCTTGTGTGTGAGTCATAAGTGACACTTCAGTCCTGCTAGTGATTTGCAAAGAAGTCAACAGTTTGTGCAAGAGTGTGGATTCTTGGAGTATATGGCTGGAACAGCAGCAGATATTTTATTCCTTTCCCTAGTTTGACGAAGCTTGACAATGTTTGATGCTGCCTTGTTCTTGATGCCATTGTAGCATGTAGTCTTCCATTCATTATATATATATATATATATAAAGAATAATTTCTTCTTGATTTGCTATATATATATATATATATATGCAAATGTCAGTGTGTCAAAGTTTTCAACTTTATTCCTTGAAGCTGTAGTGCAGTATATATCATTTTGTAATCAGGCCGACTGTGAGCAAATTAAAAACATTCCGGGATGGATACAGGCCTGAAATTTTGGATTCCCAAGTTCTCATTACTGCAATTGTTTTCGGTGATTGTTTTTTACATTATCTCCTAACATATGGGAACTAGTTAGGACTAAATCAAGACTGAGGTATTATGGTGGCTGTAGTAAGAATTGTGAGAATGTGTTGTTTTGTTGTAAGGAATACATTGGTATGTTTGGGTTAGTAATTGTGGTTAACTAAGTTTAAGATAAGACAGATTGAAAACCAGCCTTCCCCTTATCCCCACTTTTGGTCTTGTGACATATTTTTGTAATTTTCAAAATAAATATCGCTTTCCTCTTGGGTACCTCAACTTTACAAATTTAGGCAGACAGGTCTCATCCTTTTACAATTGAAATTGTTATATGTAACCAGAGATTCTACGGTAACAGTTTGCATGTCTCACTTGTAGAACTATTCTCCAGTTTTTTTTTTGTTTCTGAGTCAACTTTGATCTTCAAAAAAATTAAATGCAATCTCAATCATTGTCTTTTGTTTCTTTAATTCCTGTTCTCGCATTACCCTCATTTTAATAATGTTCTTTTTCTCATATTCTTTATCTAACTTTTTATTGTCTTGCTTGGGGTGGAATAAAAAAAAATAAATAATAAAAAGATGTTGCTGGGATTTCTTCATTGGCTATGAACTGACCCATATTGTGGATGAGTCGATCCTTGTCCCTGATTCTGTAAAGCATCTAGACCAGTGGTCCCCAGTATTCTTGCATCATGGTCTAGTGTCATGCAAGATGATTTTTCCACAGGCTGGAGCTGGGGACATGGTTGGTGTTAGTTGCATGCATGACAAAATATAATAAACAAGACCATGATAATCAATAAAATGGAAAAGAAGAAAGTTTTTATTCTTTCTGTCCAGCATGGTACCAGTCCCCAACCACTAGGCTAGGGATGGCTGATCTAGACCTCTTTCTAACTACTTGCCCTGATAAATATCTGTCTGTAGTCTCATCTCCCTTGGTCTTTTCAGACGGCTCATTGGTCTGTGTCAAGATTAATGCCAAATGAAAGATATCCTTTGATGTCCCATTTCATAGGACAATTTTTCAATACTCCAATGCCGACTGGAATAGCTTCAGGTCTTTTATTGCTGATGGTCATCTTCTACCACTCTTCAAAAATAGAGCATCTAGAATAACCTGCTTCATTTCCGAGAAAATTCTTACCAGTATTGAGAGTTTTACTCCTCACAAGATGTATCAACCGAGGTCAAATAGCCTTGTTACACACCTGAATGCACTACTGCCAGATCTCACTTTTGTATTTAAATTTTGGAAGATCATAGGAGGCAGAAATTGGAAGTGAGTTCCACAGGCGAGGTATGCGAAAAAAGAAACTATCAGAATAGAAATGGCAATTTCATCTAGTTAGTTCAACAGTAAAACAATGAGACCTAGTTGCCAATCTAGTAGCACACTTATATTCATGCAGTCAAGACATGAAAGAGAGAAGCTCATCAGAACAATTGCCATGAAAATATTTGTAAAAAGGACAGAGGGAAGCCACATTATGACAGTCAAGATGCCAGGTCATGATCGATTACATCACAGACCCTTCTTTGAATTTTGTCAAGAATCTTGAGATATATAATAGGAGCACCAGACTAAATATGGCAGCAGTAGTCAATGAACAGACAAATGGTAGATTTATAAATGTGCAAGATAAATTCTGTATCTGTCTATATTTCTGAGATGAGGTATTATGTACACTATTTACATTATTTGGACTATTGTCCTCATCTTTGTTGCCTTCTTCAGGTGGTTGGAACATCAAACTGAACCCTTTATTTTGCTCACTGAGATAGACTGTTCTCATTCCACGTGCCATGTTTAATGGATGTCAGTTATCAGTTATCTCCTATTAATTCCCCTCTGGAAGTTCTCCACTACCTTAACCGGGTACTGAACTCACACTCTTTGGGTCCTGTCACTCGATCTAACTAACGTCTTTATCCACTGTGCCAGGTGTCCTTGAGGAACTAGAACAGTCTACCCCAGTGAGCGAAACAAAGGGTTCTGTTCGACATTCCAACCACCTGAAGAAGGCAGGAGCATACAATGGTCAAAACGTTGTAATAAATATGGCGAGAAAGATGAAGACAATAGTCTGAATAATGTAAATAGTGTAAGATGAATTCTGACGATAAGAAGTATTCTGGCATGATACATTGAGCCAACTTTACTGGCAGTAGACCTGGCAATTGATTTAATATAATTACTCCACTTCATGTCAGTGGAAAACATGAGCCTAAGAAAGTGCAAAGAGTTGCTCTCCAGGAGGTTAGCATCAAACATGCTGATGGCAGACAAAGGTTTTTTGTGATGATTAAAAAATGCAGTTTTGTTTTGGAGGCATTAAAATTTTTTTAGTAACCATTTTCTATCCTTACATGACTACTGAAATAAAAGAAGAAACAGAGCTTACCTGTGCCAATGCTGAGGGCTCTGTATGGCATCGAGACAGGTTCTCCTTTTCCTGTCAGGGGACATAACAAAGCTCGAGCTTGAATCTCGGCAGAACCTGTTTCAGGAAAAGGGAAGTCAAAACTTCAGAATTCACCCAACAACAATGGGGGAAAAAAAAAGAAAAAAAAGAAAAAAAAAAAAAGAAAAGAATTTCTATCAGCATTTCTAGAAGGAGAAAGAGTTATCATTACTGACATCCAGACTAACGTCCTCTTCTTTGTAATTATCACAATGTTTCGGCTGTTATACCATCTGACCTTCTTCAGGTGTCTGTCAATCGTAGTAACATTCATGGAATTTCAAGCTTAACCCTTTATTTAATGTATAGAGGCAGTGTGTTCTCATTCCACAGCCCATGTCTAGAGATGTCATTTTTTAATTTTTTTTAAGCACTGCTCAGTTATTGTTCATCCTGTTTCCTTTGAGTCCGAGTCTGTACTACCCATCACAAGGATTGAACTCATAATTACTATGCATCCAAATTCACTAACCCATGTTTTAATCCACTTAGTTATTGTCCCGCAGGGCTTGCAATAACAGGGTAGTATTAAAAAGAATGAGATATTTCTAAACATGGACAGTAGAATGAGAACAATTTATGCATATAAAAGGGTTCTGTTTGAGATTCCATGAAGATTATCAGGAACCTGATAAAGGCACGAAAGCACTAGATAACATTGATAATGACCTATAATATATAGGTACTTATCTGTCTGTATTGCAACAGTAATAACAAAGATGAGGACATTAATCTAGCTATTGATTAATTTCTTGCAGGTTATTTAAAGCCAGAAAATATTTTTAGATTGTAAAATTTTTTTGGGGGAGATAATAATGGTTTAGTGATACAAGTCTTACTAAGTAACTCATAGCTGGGGGAGAAGAAGTGGATTCCTACCTTCCCCCAAGGATACTTGTGCATAAGTGAAAATAAACCCAGTGAGAATTGAAAAATATTTCTCCAATTAACAATTCTGAGCCATTATCCATTAACAGCACCAGCACATCCAGGCTTACAGCACCTGGTATTCCCAAGCGGTCACCCACCTAGGTCTCTAACCAGACTCAACTTTGTTTAAGTTTGGTTATCATATGGGAACCAATGTTTTAACATGATATGGCCGCAAGCTAATCCAGCTATAAATCATTGGTTGGACTCTTAAAGAGTGTCAGTTGACATATGTCCATTTTGTGTGTTTTTATATTTTTGGTATGTAAAAACTGATCTCTTCAAGAATGACGTAGACAATATTTTGATGCCTAGACTTTTGTGATGTTATGCCTCCAATTTTTAAATACACTCAAATTATGTAGTTTTATTCTGATTTTTAACTTTTGCTGGGGGGGGTCCTCTCATTATGACCTTTCATCATGACACTGACAAAATAATGTAAATAATTTAGATTCTTTCTTGTAGCTTGCTAACTTGGTTCCAGATACTGTCGTTCAGGCCAAAGTTGAAAAACATCAGATTTCAAATGCTACTTTTCTAGGTAAACAGCCAGTTGTACAGCAATTGTGTTCCCTCCTCCTTGCTCTTGTAACGCAATATGCTCAAACAAACATTGATACGGATTCTCCATTGTCACGATTTGAAAAGATATTTCCTCATACAACACAGGTTCATGTTTCATGTACCATTTTTTGGACCCTTGGAAACAAAATGTTCCTGGTGGTGGCATACATAAAACATAGAACCTCACCCCTCCCATTAATTAAATACTAAAAACCCAAAGAAAAAAAAAAGTGAAGCTATTACCTGATTGAGACAAAAGTCCATTTAAGATGCTCTTCTTTTCTGTTGCTGTTGTTGATGTTTGTTGTTGCGGAAGCAATTGCTGCAGTCGTTGCCAGGCAAGAATTTGCACTAATTTCTGATCAAGCTTGCTCAATTCCACTTCTGTGCTCACACATGATGGTAAGATTAAAAGTAAATAAATAATTAAAACATACTGAGATTAAGATGGTCAAAAAAAAAAAGGAAAAAAGAGAAAGAAAGGAAAAAAGAGAAAGAAAGGAAAAAAGAGAAAGAAAGGAAAAAAGAGAAAGAAAGGAAAAAAGAGAAAGAAAGGAAAAAAGAGAAAGAAAGGAAAAAAGAGAAAGAAAGGAAAAAAGAGAAAGAAAGGAAAAAAGAGAAAGAAAGGAAAAAAGAGAAAGAAAGGAAAAAAGAGAAAGAAAGGAAAAAAGAGAAAGAAAGGAAAAAAAGAAGAAAAAGATGATGGAAGAAAAAAGAAACAAAGAGAAAAAAAGAAACCACAATTATAAAATGGCTTTAAACAATTGAAACCACTAATTTAAAACAGCATATTTTTAGCTTACCTTTCTACATACATACATATACATATTTTTTTTTGTGGAGGCAGGATTGGGATTAATCTTCCACAAAGCAAAGAGTGTCTTGCCTGACAGAGGACTTGTCACAATGATTTAAGGCAAGATTTTACAAGGCTGGATGTTCTTCCTGATGCCCAACTCAGATACTCATGATAGTCAAAGTATTGTGAGTGTTTTTATCAAGACATCACCTCTAGGAAGATTGCCATTCAAGACTTGAAACACCACCCTAGTCTAACACACACACACACACACACACACACACACATTAAAAATGACTGACAAGGTATTGCAGTTAAGTTTTTTATTTAATTTTTCTTGTGTTCTTATTTTTTTTTTCTGGACATAAATTATGTAGAAATTGACTGTTCTGTATGTCAGAGTTTTCAGCTATACTTTTAGCCATTATCAGAGCTGATTTTTTTTTATTTTTAACTGAATGTATAGATTTTTTTATGTATGTATCTAGAGTTATAGGAATGTTTTATTTTACAAATACGCTCAGCACATTGTGGCCATGTTCATAGTCAATATTATCGAGTGTTGGCTTTTTCTTTTTTATTAATAATGCTTCCATTATTTTTAGGCCCCTTTTATTTATATTTTTAAAACATGCAGATGAGTCTATTATCTTTGTATTATCAACAAGTATAGAGTTTGGTAGGCCTCCATGTGTATTTAAATGTGACATAGCTGAGCTGTGATCAGAGAGATATAATGTGAGTCTTCCTGTTAAGCATGTTGTAGTATATCCAATATAATTATTTATGAATTTGGATCATCTGCCAGAATATCACAAACTAGCTCAAGGAGTCTAAGTATAGAATTTCTGATTGTAGCAGATGAAGACTTGGGACAAAATTATGTCTGTGAATGGCTTACCTCCTTGTCCCTCAATACAATGCTGCAATGTTGTGTTCAAATTGACGATGGCAGGTGATGAGCTGAGGGTGTTGGCAACCACAGATTTTGAATGTGACACTGGGAGGGAAGATGATGTAGGCACAGCCTTTGTACCTGGATTAAAAAAAAAAAGAAAAAAAAGTTCATGACAAGAGCAAAAAATAAATAAATAAAGATGTTCAGTTAGTGTAGAATTGTTTGCATGCAGACTATTGTCCTCATTGTTGTTGTTACCACAATGTTTCGGCCATTGTATCATTCATCAGGTGTACATCAACCCATGTAACCTAGAGGGAATTTCTAAAAATAAACCCATTATTTCATCCCTGGGATAGATTGTCCTCATTCCACTGCCCATGTCTAAGGATATGTTGTCTAGTTCTGCACAGTTATTGCCCACCCTGTTTGAACTGAATCAAAATACACACTGCCCAGCTTGGGGATTGTACTCACAATTACTATATCACCAAATTCACGAACCAATGCTTTAATCCATCGTCCTGTGGGACAATTCTGTGTGGAGAATGTGGAATCTTAAACTTAACCTGCCTGCTCATGAATCACATTTGTTACAGCTGCTGATGTTGAAGAAGTAATTTATTAAGGAACATTTTTTAATACATGACTTTATTTTTAATTTAAAAATTCATTGAAAATTGTATACAATTTCCCTAATATTCAGTTGGAGATCGTTGTGAAAAAGAATAAACAATCTGCAAAATACTTTCATCTGTCTTCATAGACCTTTTCCATTTTGAGAGAGAGGGGGATAACCTCCAATTAATTTCTTGAAAAATTCATCTTAGTTTCTTTGCACTTTTTGCAGCCTCATAATGAATCTCCATATTGTGGGGTGCTCCATTCCAAACTCTTTGCGCAGTCTTCTATTTGCTTCAGCATAGTTATTTGTCTGATCTTGAAAATTAAACACCAGTGAGCCAAATAGGCTGTTGTAGCTAATAAATCACTAAAACAAACAGTCAAACTTTCTAAATCTCTATGACTCAAAGCTGATCTAAAAGATTAGCACACTAGGACAGACAACATCAGTTTGAAGCTATGAATTCGACACCAGTGTTGAGTTGTCTTCGTGCTGACTATGCTGGTGGCGAGTTGTCCTGAAGATGAATGTGGTGGTGTTGAGTCGGCGGTAGTGAAATGTACCATCCCAATCCATACCTGCTAATGGCACTGTCCTTGCCAGTGTCATAACATTTAACAACATTACCTGGTCATATCCTTGGCATATCTAAGAAATATAAAAATAATTTATGAAGATTGTTTTCTTTTTTGTCTATCATCATCAACATCCCCAGAGTTTTGCTCCTAACTCCATAGGCATACAGTATGATGGGGCTGCAGCTCTATACACTACATGGGAGCCTACAGGATTAACATATATACATAATATATAGGTACTTATTTGTCTAGATTTCTGAGATGAGGTAACTATTTAGATCGTTGGACTGTTGTCCTCATCTTTATTGCTATATTCATCATGTGTCAGCCATTGTACACTCCGATCTTCTTCAGGTGATATATGTTGGAGTTTCAAACTGAACCCTTTATTTAGTCAACAACTGAACTCACAACTCTGGGTCAAGTCACTGTTTGAATTACTCAATGCTTTTATCCACTGGTCCATGTGTCCTTGAATACCTGGCTACAGCAGAGGGAACAAAAACTTGTTACTAAAGGGAATTAACTGATACTAAGTTATCCAAAAAAGGCATGGCATGTGGAATTAGAACAATCTACTCCTGTGGACGAAATAAAGGGTTTGGTTCAAAATTCCAATGCATATCACCTGAAGAAGGTTAAGCATACAGTGGCCAAAACGTTGTGAATAAGGCAATAAAGATGAGGGCAAGAGTCTGAAGGATGTAAATAATGTAAATATATAGTTACTTGTTACTCGTTTGCTTGAGTAGCTAGTTAATCCCTGTTGTAGATACCTGCTCAGGCACATATGAATTTCTTCATCACCTCCAGAGCCAACATGTTTTATATTGAAATTATGCTGAGCAGAACTTAATTATAGTTGCTGAGAAAGAGTTCACAATCTGTCATGATTGGTAATTACTTGAGGCTCAAATCCTTTGACGTGAAGACACTGCGGCTTCACATTAACACAATCATTGCCAGCTTCCAAACTGTTTTTTGCCTACTCAATTTCACGCACAATCCTTGGGTCAAACTGTGGTATGGTTTTCAAGTATTTCCCAATGGTGATACATGCCGAGATCCTACTTCCACTTCTGGCTGATATTATCAAGAAGTCATCTCCTTGACAATTGACCATGGAAAGATTTGGACCCACGTCTCATGGTTGGAATAACGCTCTAAACCATTTAAATAAATGTCCATTAACATACATACATACTACATAAAGATATGCTTTACACTTAGTTGCATTCTAATATAATAATCTTACTTATAAAACGCAGATTATGTGTGTGTGTGTGTGTGTGTGTGTGTGTGTCTGTCTGTATGTTTATATATTGGATCAGATTTCCTACATTTTTCAATCGATTTCAACAAAACTTCACAGGACTATGTAAAATTACCTTGCGGTGGTTCTGACAGCACCAAAAATTGGAAAAACACAATTGTTTTTGCATGAAATCAATTTGAAAACATGATTAAGAGGCATCACTCGCCAAGATGAAAGGGGGACAACTCATATCAAGTTATACTTATTATAAAACCCAAGTTGTGTGTGTTTATATATGGGATCGGATTTCCTATATTTTTCAACCGATTTCAACAAAGCTTCACTTTTTTTTTTTTTGGTAGTGTTTTCTTATTGTCTTGCACACTTTTTTTTCTTTATTTTTACATTCAGAATGCTTTAAAAATTCCATTTACAAGACAATTGTTTATAATAAAATTCTATTCAATCGGTAGACTCATAACGATTGAAAACAATGTTTTTGTTTGAGTTTGGGTTTGACCAATTCGTACAAAAAAACAAACAAAAATAAAACAAATTAAGACATGCATGTCCGTCAACCTTAAACAATAATCTTTGTCAATTTTATTTTTCAGTTTTTATTTTTCCCCACTATTAGTGGGTTATTTACTACACACTGCTGGCAACTCTTAAATGTTGTTAATGTTATAAAGATTACTGTTCCATTTCCATCCCTCATTTCTTGTACAGTAACCTTTTCTAGGTTACAGTATTTTGGTAACGAGGATTTGGCCAAACTCTAGTAAATGTTCACCAATACAACATTTGGTGAACAAAGATTTTGGCAGAACAGAACTCACATAAACGTTCATGAATTCAATATTCTACAAACATCTAAGCTACACTTGGAAAATCTCTACCTACATGGGAATGAAATCTTCCTCTTTCATAAATACCAACCTGTGAGACTTCCTGGGTGGGCAGTCAGGACGCAGTGTAACCTGACAGTTTGGACGGACATAGGTATTCGGACAGGTTCAAGTCCTCTTCTGGAGAGGTGAGTTCATCTCCACAACAGATAATAATATCAGCAAAACTCACGTAATAATTACCAAAGCTACAAAGCATTTATGGCTACAGGGATTGTCTAAGAATTACGTACATTTTTACCAAGTTTTTCAAAATACAACATTCAGAAAAATATGTGATTTCATTCCAAATACAAAGAACCACAAAAATGTAATGAAAGGTTTACAAAAATCATGTATTGTTCAGAGGTTTTCTTGGTGTAAAGGTGTTGCGCTGGAAGTTAATGTGTAGGAATACTTAAAGTGCTTTGTAAAACAGTTGTGTAAAAAAAAAAAAAAAAAAAAATAATATATATATATATATATATATATATATATAATAAAAAGGCTTAAACACTAATACTCCATGGTCATAATTTATTCCATTGGAATCGTAAATACAATCCAATTCATCAGACCTACAAATTCAAAATGAAAACAGGAAAAACCCACTCCGGAAGTGAAAACAGAATTTAGAGAAAAGTAAATATGAGGAGGAGGGAGATTGAACCTTTAACAGAGAGAATTTTTAGGAGATGTGGGGGAAGGTTTTAAATAAGAGAAGAGAATAAATGTCGACGGATGTCTAATGCATAAAGATACATTTCGTGGTGACATACATACACCATAGACAATTTAATGCTAGAATAAGAGGGATGGGAAGGGAAAGAGAAGGTGGGGGAGAGCGATGGGACAAAGGAAAGTAAAATTGCGTTTACTTAAAGGGCCGCTTTGTACTTGAGAAAATTTGACAAACTTAATATCGACTACAGGTTACAAATCGAATATAAATATATGAAGATAAATATAACGATTGTCTAATCCAGCAAGGACCTATATTTCTATTTTCAAAGACACATGTGAATACACACAATAACATATACATGTATACACATAGGCGTGTACCCACACACACACACATATATATACCCATATATATATATATATATATATATATATATATATATATATACACACACACATACATACATACATACATACATGCATGCATACACACACACGCCACATAAACGTGCACAATGATACATTTAGAGATAAACATAATAAACATAATAGTCATTCCGTTAAAATGTCATGTCCGAAGAGGACTTTTTTTAAGAGGACTCTAAAAAATCCAACGGTGGATCTACAGATGCAGCATTGCAACAATTTTTACAGGTGTATCGGCTTACACCAAATAAAAATGTGCTTTCTGTCATGACTCCAGCAGAAATTACATTTGTGCAGAAAATAAGATCAGTTTTTTGACATGGAAAAAGATTTTGGTGGAGTTTGTGTATATTCATAGCACAACATGGAAATCAATAAACTTCAAGGCTGTATGATATACGGCTATTAGGAAAAAACAAAAACTTTTTCTTCCTAGTTAAGGACTACTGGTACGAACAAAATGCACTATGGAAGAATTTAAGATATTTATTCGGCAACTATTACAACAAATGCAACAGGAGTAGATTGAATATCAAGAACAGATAAAAGCAATCCTGGAAAAGCAAAGAACAGATAATATGTCAATGTCGTTTTCACCAGACTCAATTAGAGAATTTCATTACATTCCAGAAGAAAACATTACATTCCTATCGTACTTCAGAAGGTACAAGGCCATTTTCAGA